AAAAAGTTGAAACTTTCTTTACGTAGACTTAGTGTAGCTTCAAATATGTTCAAATTATGACCCACTGGGGTAGGGTGGGGCCACATATGGGGATCCAATGATTTACATATAGAAAAATGCAGGGGATTTTTTCCATCATAAATCTTCTTCTCATGAACAGCAAGGGCATTATTGTCATCCGTTTTCGCAAAAGGAACCTAGGGGACATTAAATCTCATTTGTCTGTCAGTCTGTCCGTTTGTCAGTCTGTCCGTCTGTCACAATAAATTTAACCTTGGTCATAACTTCTGAATAATAAGAGATAGGGCTTTCATATTTCACATGTACATTACCTACAAGAACTTTCTAAACATACCATGATTTTTGAACCCATGACCTTGACCTTGAAGTTTGATCTACTTTTCAAAAAATTTAACATTATTTTAAATTGATCATTTTGAAAGAGAAAAGATAGGGCATTGAATTCATATTATACATGTATATTACCTGTGACAAGACCTTTCTAAATGTATCATGACTTTTGACTCTGTGACTTTGACCTTGAAGTTTAACCTACTTTTCAAAAATGTTATATTTTCTTATAACTTTTGATTGAGAAGAGATAGTACTTTTATATTTGACATGTACATTACCTGTAACAAGATGTTTCCAAGCATGCTATGATTTTTTTACCCCTTGACCTTGATGTTTTACCTATTTTTAAAAATTTTAACTTTGGTGATTACTTTTGAATGACATATGATAAGGCATGCATATTTGAAACAATATGTCATAAATAATGGCATCCCATCCACTAGGACACGGAAAGCAGGGGACCACAATTCTTTGAATTTGCTTGTTAGTCATTTTGATATGGAAACATCCTCATACAGTGTAGATTCAAGTTTTTTATGCCCTGCCATGAATATGGCCGAGGCATATAGTGTTTGTCATGTCCGACTTCAATAAAACATCATATGCTGATACATACTGATGTAAGCTTTTCAACTGCATCAACCTTTTTGACCTTGACTTTTCCTTTGACCTTGACCTTACTTTTCTTAAATTAGTGTCTAGATCAGTTTTGAATAAACAATTCAAGATATATTTATCAAACTTCATATGCTGATATATACTGCTGAGAGCTATCAATTGCATCAACTTTTTTGACCTTGACTTTTCCTTTGACCTTGACCTCACTTTTTTAAATTAGTGTTTATCTACATTTTAAATAAACCATTTATGGTATTTTTATCAAACTTCATATGCTAAAAGTAAATACATACTGATATAAGCCTTTCAACTGCATTAGCATGTTGACCTCAACCTTTCCTTTGACCTTGACCTCTCTTTTCTCAAATAAGTGTTAAGCTCAGTTTTAAATAAATCATTCAAGATATTTTTATCAAACCTAATATGCTGATATGTATTAGTGAGAGCTATTCAACTGCATCAAAAACTTTTCACCTTGCACTTTCCTGTGACCTTGACCTCCCTTCTCTTTAATTTGTTTTTTGCTTAGTTTTAAAGAAACAATCTAAGATATTTTTATGTAAGCATGCACTTATACATAATTTTGTGAGAATTTATCATCTATATCCATTTTTTTTAGATTTTAGTTTCAATTTTAAAGAAACTCTTCAAGATATTCTCATCAAACTTCATACACTCATACAAATTTTCATGTTGCATTAATAATATACATTCGGTGAGGCATTTATGTCCTATGGACATATTTCTAGTTTTCAAATCATGACCTCCGAGTATAGGGTCAAGCCACAATAAGGGATCAAAGTTTTATAGAGGAATAAAAGGAAAAAAAATCTTCAAAATTCTTCTTTTTAAGAGCAACAAAAGCATGATTATTATGGAAACATTCCCAAGAAGTGTAGATTCAAGTTTGTACAAATCATGACCCCATGGGTTAGGGAGGGGCCATTTTTTTCCTGCCCCTATTTGCTATCCACATGGAAATGCAAATTTTAAAACCATTTTACACATCCACAGGACAAAATCAATCATCTTCCAAATGATCATGATTTAAGGCTAGTGCATAAAATATAAGGGAAGTTCTGGGAACCAGGATGTTTAAACATGTTAAATATTTTTTAAAAAAAATTTGACCCCCATTTGACCCCCAGGGGGAAAATGAGAATTCCAAAACCTTACTGCACATCTATAGGACACCACCAACCATCTTTTAAAAGATGATTAGGCTACTGTGTAAAATGTAAGAGGAGTTCTGGGAACCAGGGGCTTTTTGCATAAAAAAAACGTCATTTTTCGACCCCCATTTGACCCCTAGGGTGTAAAATGAAAATTTCGAAACCTTACTGCACATCTGCAGGACACCACTAACCATCCCCCAAAAGATGATTAGGCTACTGTGTAAAATGTAAGAGGAGTTCAGGGAACCAGGGGTTTTTTGCATAAAAAACGTCATTTTTCGACCCCCATTTGACCCCCAGGGTGAAAATGAAAATTCCGAAACTTTACTGCACATCTACATGACACCACCAACCATCTCCCAAAAGATGATTAGGCTACTGTGTAAAATGTAAGAGGAGTTCAGGGAACCAGGGGCTTTTTGCATAAAAAACGTCATTTTTCGACCCCCATTTGACCCCCAGGGTGAAAATGAAAATTCCGAAACTTTACTGCACATCTACATGGCACCACCAAACATCTCCCAAAAGATGATTAGGCTACTGTGTAAAATGTAAGAGGAGTTTGAGAAAGAAGAGTGTGACAGACGGACGGACGGACGGACGGACAGACATGAGTAACAACAATATACCCGAACTTTCTTTAGAAAGTGCGGGTATAATCAATATTCTTCTTAGTTTTCCTTTGCAACGTGTAAAAACCATGTGTCCGCTAAAATAAAAAACGCCACAATTATTGGCATACCTTTGAGGAAGCAAAACGCCAAATTTTACATCCGCCAAGAAAACCCGCTATACGGTAGTTTGTATTTGAAATGACCAGACATTTAATATTATTACTACAGTATTTAAAATCTGTAATATATAACCTTTTTTCTCATGATATTAAAAGTTATCGAAAAGGTATTTATAATAACACTAAAATTCGATTTAAATACGATTACAAGTATTCATAAATGTCTTCCATTACAGTTTTACTGTCGATTATTTAAAAAAAGGATCAAAATAAAACACCAAAATCATACAACATTATTATAATTTTTTAATGAATCATGTCTGTTTAATTCCATATGTTCTATAGTATAAATTTGCTTTTGATATCTTTTGGATATCAAATTATTTCTACCTAGAGTTACGTTCAAACACATATTTTTCTCTTCAAAAATATTCACCACGTATCAATAATTGTAACAGATCACAAATATATAATGAACGAAAACTCTTCAAAGAAACCTAAAGTAAAAAACAAAAATAAAACTCTTCAAAGAAACCTAAAGTAAAAAACAAAAATAAACAGCCATTAAATAAGAATCAAACAACAAAAGTCACACACAAAGACTGTTAAAATATTGGTCGTTGTTTGCATCATTTGGCACTGGAACAGTACAAAGAGTAACACAATTGGAAGGATTTTTACGGGCACATACGACAGTGAGTTGCTGATTACTGTGGGCTTCTCTTGCAGTTTTATTTGTGAATAAAAATAATTGTTATTCGTATCTGCGGGGATTCAAGTATGTATGAATCTAATTGATTATAATATCCTGTCCGAAAGTTTTCTACATGTCATCATCACAAACGAGAGTCAAAATGTTAGACACCTTCCCCTTGTTAACAAGTATATTATAGACTAATTACATAAACCCGTCATATAATTCTGTGTCTGTACATATATATATATATATATATATATATATATATATATATATATATATATATATATATATATATATATATATATATCTATCTATCTATATATATATATATATATATATATATATATATATATATATATATATATATATAATAATTAACTACGAGAGTTTTTCGAAAAGTTTGCGAACCATGTCAGTCTTTGTTTGCTAAGTTTAAGAAATTAAAATGAGCATTTTATCAAGTTCAAAACCATTTATTTTGTTAATGTACGAAGTTTCATTCTATGTGGTTGAAAAAATATCTTATTACTTAATTTTAAAATTAACATGTTTTGTAACCACGGAGCACACATAACAATATTGTAAGTCAGAAACATAGCGTCATGAGTTTCTCAAAAATACATTGTACTCTGCCCATACATTTCACACAGTTTGGTCCAATACCCACTCATTATAAACGTTTCTCTATCACTTGAAATTTATTTTGCCAACAATTGTTATAGTGGCAATATTTGTTCATTAATGTTTAAATATTTTTACAGCGTAACAGTGCTTTCACAAGATCAGCAATTGTGATAAGATTTTTACAGATAATCCGTTTCCTCTGACACAGACCGTCCTCATGTGATAGCCTATATCATTCAAATACCACCTGCGCCCCTTACACACTCACACATGATTCGTTTTTTATATATTTCCTACTTCCATCAGCATTTTCATAGTTTATTCTGGAGTTTTCGAGATGTACACACAAAATTGTATCGTTAATTGCTGCTCTGTGACATTCTACTACGTCATCTTATTTTGCCTGTCTCAATGAGGACAATGCTTTTCTGAAATTGATTTCTGTTCAACGATGCAAAATATTATGTCATAATTTGGAATTTGTTTTCGTGAAACGAAGAGAAGAGAAGACTCACCAATTCATATCCCCCACGAAATGTGAAAATTACATGCTGCTTTAAAATGTTTCTCCTTTAACACCAAAATCAAATCAAATCAAATCCCTTCGAACCAGTAATTTTTCATGAAACCACAAAAATATGACATGACAAAAATAAATTATTTTACATTACTAAATTTTTACCTGCTCCGCGATTCCATTTTCGTAGGTTTTATTCTGAATAACTAAGAAATATATCAGGATATTTTTGAATTTTTTATTACACGTCATACGAATTTTTTGTTAAAACATTTCTACCTAATTTGAATATAATATGGCATTAAGTATAAAAGATATGACAGAAGTCCACGAACTTTTCGAACAACCCTCGTAATTAGAATTACCTGTGAGATGGTCATGCCTCTCAATATATCTGTAAACACACACTCTGTTGTTCCTGTTTGATCCAACCCAGAGAAGGTGAGCCCTGTCATCATAACCCAGGCTATATGGCTCCTCTTGTTGGTCTGTCAATATCAATGACAGGAATTGTCCGTTCTTGTCAATCATCTGAATTGTGTTAGTGTTATAATCACACACTAGGATATGTGACAGCGCGTCCGTACAGACTCCACGTGGTGCTACTCGTGGTCCTACTGGAGGTCCCGTGTAGGAGAAACGGTGTTTTCCTTCACGTTCTATGACCACTATAGCTTCAAAGTAATAGTCAGACACAATAACATCTCCATTGCGATTTTCTGTAATGTATCTAGGTATACCATACAGTTCCTGACCTGAGTTGTTGTGGTGTATTGTTTGTGAGAGTTCACCTGTGTCGTTGTATCGTGATACCTTGGCTGTATCGGAATCCGCATTTCGCATTCCGACCAGTATATCACCATTGCAGGGGGAGCAATAAATACAGCGTGGTTTCCATGGTTCTGTGTACTTTATAAGTATATACTTGGTTCCCTTATCTTTGGAGAGTTTGGTTATGTTTCGATCCTCGTCTACATAAATAAGATCGGATATACCATTCACTGTATATAACCCCCCATAGCCACTGCCACTTCTATCTGTCAGATGATATAACCTGTCACCTGCTGTGTTTGTCAAGATGAGATTGTTGTACATATCACTGACCCAGACCTGGTCTGAGGTGACAAAGGACAGGTGATCTACACCTCTAACACCTGTAACCTCCACTGATTTCTGTAACACTGGTGTAGACATCAGTTTCAATAGACTTTCATTTCTTACTTCTCTTTTTCCTCTTTCTGTGATTTGGATTTCTCCTAACTTAACCACATCTTTCTTGTTGATTTCCTCAACCAGAGAGAGGAGAGCGTGCTGTGTAAGATGAGGGGTGTCCTTTATTTTAAGAAAACGGGGCTTGTTCAGGAATAAGAGGAATTTAACCGGTCTGTTTGCTGATTGTTCAGATCTGTGTTCATAGTTCTCTATGCTTGTGAGGTGTCTGTTCATTTTTCTCTTTTGTTGTTTTAGTCTATTCATCATATAACTCGCGTATCTGATTTTAACATCATATAATATATTTTGAATGAGGTTCTTAAGTCTCTGGGCTTTTACTGACATCTCTGATTGACGATTTGAAATTTCTGTGTGACAAGTTTTTATATCAGTTTTTATTCCTGCCAGTAGAAAACAGCTGTTGTAGAGAGTCTGGCTCCTGATGATTTGAATAATTTCTTTGTTTTGTTGACGGTTTGTTTTATATGCTGTTCTTATGTCTAGTATATGGTGTTTTTTGTGTCCTTTACATTGCAGACAAATAGGAAGTTCACACGACTGACAATATAAATGGTGAATTCTGCCTGAATGTCTCACACAGGTCTCTTGTTTTGGGATGTATTCATATTTCTCACGGTAAATTACAACATCATGGTATATAGTATCTAGATCAATAACATGTCTCTCTTTACACTGTATACACAGTTCGTGTTTACACGTGTTACAGTAGAATTCTGTGTCCCCCTGACATTGAGAACCCTGTCGAACTTTACATTCGGTGCTGACTTCTGGTTTGTCCATTATTTGAATGGTCTACGAAACACAATCTGCTGAAATAGAAAAGAATGTGAAGATAACAAACAGAAACAAATTTTATAAATACAGAAAAGAATACAGAATTATGAACGGGGCAAACACACAGACCCCTGGAAACACAAAGGATTGTGTTATATTCCTCGGAGGATTAATCATATCCGTCAAACACCCCATAAACCCTCTGTATTGATCTGGTCAAAGGGAGTAATCCGTATTAGACACAACTAGTAAAAAAAACAATGTCCTAATGATTGGTATGACACATATCAGTAAAAATACGACCCAATGATAGATTTTGTTTGAAAACAGGGTCATTTTCATTGCCATAAAATTTACAACAGGCAGACATTTAAGGAGATTTTCGACAGCCCATTAACATCATTTTTTTTTTGTCAGTAGCCTACCTCGGTTTAAAGATTGGCTGTATGTAGGGAATTCTCTTGAAACCGAATCATCTGGAAGACCTAATACCACAGGCAGGCGATTGTGGAATATTACTGCAAAAATAAGTGAAATTGATGATGGAAAAGGTATAGTCACCGTGTTTGTCATAAAATTTAGTTGTTAGTTGCTTATTAAAGTTTATATTCAGTAACAAAAGATGGTAACCATGTCAAAATACCCCGCTTTCAGTAAGGTCATAACGATGAAATGGGTTGTAAAGTACTGCATTTGAAGTTAGACATTTACCTTTGACTTATGTGTACAGGGATGTTGTAATTGTAATCAGTAATCGTAATCAGCTGTAATTGATTACAGTTTTCTGAGTAATTATAAGTAATCATTAATCATCAATTGTTCTGATTACAAGTAATCGTAATTTAATCAATTAGTCTGAAAAAGGCCCTGTAATCATGATACTTTTTTATTACTTTATGATTACAATGGTAAAAATGAAGTGCATAAATTCATATACATTGTTGTGTTTCACTGTTTATATTTCAGGCTAGAAATGTGCATATAGATTTATCTCCTATTGTGAAACTGAAAATGATTTATTTGATTAAACGCCCGTTTTTACATAAACGTATTCAATGGCGTCGACAATAAAACTGTAAATTATTTACATATAATATATATAACTGTACATTTAGAGTTATTATTAAAATAAAGCATCAAAGTCGCTAAAGAAGTAAATTTTTAAGTTGTTTTTGAAATCATCAATAGATTTTGATTGTTTAATATGCAAAGGTAGTTCGTTCCACAATTTTGGTCCGATGGTTCTAAAACTCCTGTCACTTACAGTTTTTCTTTTAATAAATGGGACTGTGTATTCAGTGTACAGTGTTCAGGCATCTTTAAAAATTATGTCTATTGAACTATGCAGCGAGTACTTTCAAAATGTTTTGCAATTCATCTAGTCTGTTTAGATATTATTGTCAGATGTATATGTACTGGGCTGATTTAAGTTCATATATTTTGGAGCTGTTATGTCGTTGTAACTCTTTATACAATGAAAAAGGTAAAGATAACTCGAACAGTGATTGATCTAAAAAAAAAAATCTACAAACAATGCAACTCACTATAAATCTCAACTTTGTTTTATTTACAAGAGATATAAGAAATAGCAGCTAGGATAAAATAGATGTGCTCTGGAACAGCTTAATTTACTGTTAATGCCTCTATAAAACCTAACAAATAAAAGTTAATTAGAAGGTTAATATGTCAACATAGTCAACTACATGTATAACAAATCTCCATTGAATGCTAACATTTCAACAATAATAACATCTAATTTGATTGATAAATTATGGGTTCTTTTTCTTTATTAGACAAAATTCTGGCTATCAGTTAAAAAAATCAAGCATCTATGAACACGTACACCCAAATTTCCTTTAAAATGCTAATAATTAAAATTGATTTAAATCAATGAAAATGAGTGTATAAATGATTACTGAATAAAATGTGCAACAAAACATTTTTCTACTAAACATTGAATTAACACATAAATATGAGCATTAAACGAATAACTAGGACAAATGTTTTTAAAAATAAATGTAATCTAGAGTAATCAGAAGTAATCATGATTACACGAAGGAAAAGTAATCTAATGTAATCGATTACTTTTAAAAATGGATGTAATCGAATTGTAATCAATTACTTTCAAAATCTAAAGTAATTGTAATTAAATCGATTACTTTTAAAACTAATTAACCAAGACCCTGCTGAAGGGATGGGGGAGGGGTGATCATGACAAGGGTTTTACACAGAGATAAATGACATTTAGAATAAAAATGCCATGTCTTGCTATATAAATCATTTTTAAGTGGGAAAAATTGGAAAATCTGTAGACCTGAAATTTAAAACTGGAATCAGGTTGTCAAATTTCAAGTTGTTGCTCCCTGAGTCTTATGTCTGCAAACTTAAAATCGTTGTATATTTTAAAACTTTAGTAAAGAGATCTGACTTTTTTTTATATATCTATCAACAGAAGATAGTAATTTAATCAAGCACAAGTCATTCTTTTAAATGCGTAATTTTTTTAAAAAAAAAAATTAAATTATTTTTTTTTGTAAATCACCGTGTCCGTGAAGTTATCTAACAGTGCAGCCTAAATTTCAAAATCCCTTTCACAGCTGACCAATCTCAGCACAGTTCACTTGTTTCAGATGTTGGTGATTAAATTGACTAATTCTTTTTGCAGATAACAATCAGTTCAAAGGACCTTTTAGCAAATATTTTGGTTTTTAAATATAACAAGTAGGTATCAGAAAGAGTTCATATGACTCTTCCGTATGTTTCTCGCACAAGCTTAATGTATCTCTTAATGAGATACATCCGGTAAATGAATACATCAGCTATAAAGAGAAATAGAGATATCAAAATTCCTTCCTTCCTGTTCTATAAAATACAACAAAAACCTTCAACTCTGCACACTAAGTTAGATGCAATAAATAAAGATTTATTATTTCTTTTTTAATTTCTTTTTGTTTAGGTAGAAGCCCTTAATTCGGATTGGGGTAAGGGCAAAGTTTCAAAGACAATGAGAATTTAAAAAACTTATAAATCTGTAACACTAGTATTTCATTCTGTCACTTTTCAACATCTGTCGTTTCAGACTTATACTTTGAAATTAATTTTTCAGTGAATGAAGCGTAGAAAATTTGAAAGTTATATATTCCTACCAAAAATATAAATTTAGAACTTTTAAAATACGTTTTCCACATATTACCTCCCTATATGAGTCATTCATATTTACATATGTAAAGACGATGAAAAACAAAATAAAAATTAATTCTACAACTTTGAATTGATAGTAGTGAAATGGGGCCATTTAAAAAAAAAATAGATCACGCATTGCGGTTTTACATAGAAGCAGATAGCAGAAATATCGAATTAACCAAAGAATGTGTAAATAAAAAAAATTACCTGAACAAAAAAAGCTTTTTTAATTTATTTTATATGCTAGCTTTCTCTTATTTAGAAAGAAAAAAGTCTTTTTAAATGCACATTCCAAACCTCATAACATATGATGAAAAAGGTAAACTAACAATATTTCATTATCTTCTTTTCACATATAGCAAAGCTATACTCCGAGGGTCGTTCAGTAATTAATGCAAAAGGTCATCATAAAATAAGGAAAACATGAGAAGCAGTTTTTACATATTCTTTATCCCTCAAATTATTTCCTGTTGACCTATGCACATGTCTTACGTCTTTGTACCCATAACCAGAACTCCTCAGCATATACTTCATCTTTAGGACAAGAGCAAGTCCTCCGGGAATAGCCTCTGACGCGGGTTTGATAAATTTGCTATGTCACTCACAGTCAGTGGATAAGTGTATATCTAAGTTTTATAAATAGAAAATAAGTAAGAAAGTTCATCAAGCTAATTTGTGTAAGAATTTGGGAAAAAATAAGTTAAAAAAATAGAAATTTGATTGTAGAATTCCGAGTTTGTGTACTAATGCATTTAAGATACTTGCATATAATTTTAAAAGAAATTATAAAACTACCCCTGAACGAGAGCATTGTACAAATATGTGATTTATTTGTGAACGGTTGGCAGATTTGTAAAAAAGCAGAGGGGGAAGGAAATATCGTTATGGTAAATAAAGTATGTTTTGCATACATCGTAAGTTCATAAGTATCTAACACCAATTATTTCAGGCTATGACATGGCGTTCCTTAGAAATTAATGCGTCGTTGATTATATATGGCATATTAAAACAAAAAAGGTTGACCACATACATGTATTTGGTAAAATTGAACAACAACCCTTACCATTCGGTGCATGTGTTTCCTTGCTGCCTTTTTTCCTCCATTACTAGGAAACTACAAATGCGGAATCAAGTTCATCTTTTAGGTCAAAATCTACGGAAGCACACCATCGTTAAAAATATCATGTTTTCTTTTTATGCAAAGCTGCTGTAAAAATATATTTGAGAATGGAAAAAAAATAAAAATTATTATAATGTTTTGCTATTAAAATCTTGTATAAAAAAATCATCTCTCACAGTTACTGACCTTGAAGGGTCTTAATACGAAATAAGAGTGTCTCCACACAGACTGTCCTTCAGCTTAAGATAATCTTCATCACAATTTGGACTCCAGTGTCAGGGTTTGTTATAATTAGTCCTCCGAGGTCCTTATGCTACAGGAGGTTTTGATATATCAATAAGAATTTTCACTTGCTGTCCTCGGAATTTCCCTATTTCTTGGAAAAGACGAGGAAAGTCATTTTCGACGTTATCTCCATGCGTTCCAACTTTGTTAATAACTTTAATAATGTTCAGTTCATCAGTTCACTCGCAATAGGTTATCCAAGCAGAGATCATCCTCTCCTCTTCACTAAATAGAAGGTACACACAGTGTATTTCTGTGAAGCTTCTATGTTCACATTATATGTGCCGAGCACACAATATGAAACTAGTTTTTCTTGAACGTTTCCTTCGTGTAAAGTTGGTTTTCCAATCTCATAACGTTTCTCATCTAGAATGTTCACAGGGAATCCACTGTCAGCTAGCAATTTAAATTGTCGTTCAGATTCGTTGTA